AACCCGAAGGATTTTAATAACAGCCTTCCGCTGAGGCAGATAGTAAGAGTGTAAACCCTGCCCCAAATAACTAGAACATGTGATTAGGGAAATTCATAAGAGACAAATTAGCTCATAGTATACCACCTAGCTCCCTATGATACAGAATCGCCTTCTTGTAATAATAATGATAACACCATCTTAGACTTCAGTATCACAGATGCTTCCATGGATATTGATCTTTTTTCTCCACTGACCTTCTCAGAAATCCAGCAAGATAAACAAAGTACACACTATGACCCATTTCACACACGAGGAACCCGAAGGTGTAAACACACAGTGACTTGTGCCGTGAGTGACAGACCTTCAGGACAGACAGAGGCAAGATTCTCCTGACCTCCCAGCCACTGCTCCTTCACCACCACCATGCTGTCTATTCCCCAAAGTACAGTGAAAGTTCCAGCAGCAGAAGGGACAGGGGAAGGCATTCTTTCTCCATCTGACGGGACTTTAGAAACAGAAACTGAACTGAGGGAACCTGAGGGAACCCCCAGCATTAAATTCACCCACACCCACATCTTTTGGTCTCTTCTCTTGATTTCAGCTCACACTCCTCTATCTTTTCTTTTCCTAGAGACATATTTGGAGATGAAACCACTCATAACTGCCCATCCACAGACAGTTTGTGGCAGCGTAATTGACAACGAGTCTGCTGCAAAAAAATGAAAATGCTGTTTTAATAACCTTGGCCTAAAATACATTCTATTGTATGCCTCAAAGGGTTTCAATAAAAAGTCAACCTGTAGAGACATATTTTCTTGGCTTAAACAACAATCCAAAGCATATAAATGTAGTCCAACTATAATGACATATTTATAGGCCAATAAAGCTTACACTGCAGCTTTCATATTTCACTTAAAGGAACTCTGTAAGAAGCAGTGTTATATAAAATAATTTGATTTCTTTTCAAACTATAGCCCAAGGAATAAAAAAATGCAAGTGTGCTATGTTTAACTGATAGTGTTTATATTCCTTAGCTGTTAAAAGTTTTGTAAAATGAAATAATTCATTTGACTAGTTCCAACTGCCATACCAAATATGGGTATCAGGTCCACTTTATAACAAAAGCTAAGTACTGTAATTCTGAAGACAAAAATAAATAACTAGAGGCTTGTGTAGTGAATGATTTAATCAACCCGATTCTTCTGGAAAAACAGGTTCCTGTGTTCGTTATGCTTATGAATAATACATTCCTTAACCCTTCTATTTTAACATAGTTATTTTTTCTTTCTTCCTTTTCTATAAACGTCAGTATGAAACTGTCTGAAAAAAGGTAAAATATCTCACTGAGTAAAGTCACAATCTGAATTGGTTTCATACTGAACTTTCTTTCTGTGAAAAGGACAAAGGGGAGGGAAGGGGATGAATGTACTCTCACACATCTCAGAAGTGTTTTTTAAAGATTGTTAGTTTCCCCACTATCTAGATCTGCAGTTTCAGTCACCATTTACCATCTTAAATGAAAATGCCATAGGTTTTTAAAAAGCAAACATGACATCCGCAAATACTGTCCTTGAAGGGGAAAGGGATAAAAAAAAAATGAAAGAGTTGTGATTTGAGTCACAGCAGTTATTGGAAGCTGCCATTTGGGGCAGAGTTTCTCTTTGTGGAGTATTAATTTGTTGGCAGACACACATTTGTGAGAACATTCTTGTTTTTTTACTATTCAGAGAGACAGGAAGTGACACAAACTGAGATTAAAGGGAACTTTTTCTAACTAAACACTCAGCAAGAAGAGTTCTTTGATTAGCTTTTAGATGGTAAAATCCCTTCTTTAAGAGTCAACCGAATTATTTTGTTATTATTGATGTTTTAACATGATGAAATAATTCGGTTAAAAAAGATAACATATTGCAGTTTTACTTTATCCACAGAAAGGTGAGATGGCTCCATTCTTTGCTTACTTCCACTAGAAAAAAAGAGGGAGGGTCTTAAGTAATCTCAGAGTTCATCTTCTTGCCCTGGTAGGAACAATGAGGAGTTGGAAGGGTTTTACAGAAGGAAAAACCTAATAAGTGTGTGAACTTCCATTAACAATGTGGTACTGGAAGTGGTTTCAGTGTGGCCAAGAGAAAGGGAGATAAGAAAACCACTGTGTAGAAAGAAAAGTACAGACAACAAATATTTTGATGTTGCAGACAGAGAAAGGAAGGGGTTGAAGAGAAAGTTGCTGGGACAGGAATGCACACAGCAAATGACATCCCCTATATCCCCAATATAAATCGTCACAATGTAGGCTTGTAAACCTTAGATCAAGCAGATAATGGAAACTCATTACATTAAGGAAAGTTTTTGTTTCTCTTTCCACATTATTACAACACAGTGTGCATTCCAATTACAAAAGCTATTTGTCTCAAATTCCCCACAGTTCATACCAACTGAGTAGAATTTCAAGGCTCCAAACTCTATCCTTAAAGGGGTATTTTACATCAAAAAAAAGAAAAAAAAAAATACATGGTGTGTCTTATTCACCAGAGAGCTTCCCAATCAAATCTCCTGTTGCTTATTTTTCCTTCCTCTGCACTGATCACTCACAGAGCTGCCTCCCAAATGAGACCCAAAGGAAAAAAAAAAAAAAAAAAAAAAAAAAAAAAAAAAAAC